CCAACAGAGGGAGGAGGGGGAGTTTTTGACTAGCAGTGTGAAGTGGGGGGCGTGGAACGTGGCACGAATAAGAAGGCAAAGGCACTAAACTCTGTGGAAATACACCAAGGTTGCCTCTTGTACTTCTGCTGGTGGTGCTGCCAGTTGGTGTAATAGTCGTAACGGAAAGAACTGAGGTGGTAGGGCCCTGAGGAAACACAATAAAACAGGCAAGGAATACATTTAGACGGAGTTAGTTTAGCGTTCCCCGACAAGACGGCGCACCACACAGACAGGGTATTTTCTCCTCTTCATAGGGAAATTTGTAGTCGTAGGTGATCTCCTCCATCACCTGAATGTCACGTTTGGAGTAAATCACAATCTTCTTCTTGCCCTCGACGGTGATGATTTTTGCATAACAATTTGGCTGCAAGAAATATGAAAAGATGATCGGTAGTGGGATAAAGAAAATGTTTTGGATTCATGGAGGTCCGTATCCTTCATAAGGTTGAGTGAATTCTGAGTAAGTTTCTCTGGGGATCATGAGAAGCGATCTCTAAACCATCAGAAAAATTAAAATTGTACGCCTACTCCCGAACTATCTTTAACATAAACGCGAGAATAATCACTTCAGAAGATTCTAACAACCGGTTTCTTAAACAAATTCAGCATGCAGTGGTTGACCAACAAATTATTCATGAAGGTTCGAACTTCATACAAAAGACTGCTATGAAAGCCCCAAATGAATAACAACTACAGTCAAACTACGGGTCCTTAGAAGAGACTCCAGTTGGTAACCTTTTAGGCTACGATTAATTAGGCATTCTGGCACGCCCAGGCTACTCGGATACCTTATCGTGTCAACCTTTATCAGAGAATCATAACAAAGAATTCATCTAGTGGCGCTCAATGCGGCGTGTATTAAAGAATCTTCAGTTACCACATTAGGTGTCGTGTCTATCCCAGTGAAACCTAGGAACAGTCAATAATACTGCTTTGAAGACAACTTCCGATAAGATTAGTTGGAAAGAGTTCAATTTAGGATACACAACTGCAGGCGAAAACCCCATCTTTCTGTAATAGGGGCCAGGTGGTAATCAGGGTTAGATGGGTGGCGCATATCAGGGGAAATAAAAAGTAAATAAAAAGTAGTGTATAACATTAGAAAATAATAGGGAAAATTGTTTCAATAAACAAATAGTTGCGCGCGATAACTAAAATGAGGGATATAACCAGTGCCCAAGTGGACACCATTGGGCCATTTTAATTATCGTACGCAAATATTCGGTTGTTTAAATAAGCTGCAATGACACTAAATTTAACTTTCACCGATTAGTTTGATACTATGACCCGGGAGACCTAAACATCTTGGAATGGAATTTCACCAAA